CCCCACCTGGCCCCCTATTTTTTTTTTTTTTTTTTTTTGGTACTTAGGGCTTGAATTTAGGACCTTGCACTTATAAGGCAGGTGGCAGAACCACTGAGCTAAATCCCTGGCCCCCTACCCTAATTTTTTAATAGAAATCATAGTTATATGAAGTACTGAGTTACAATGATATAAAATACTACTAAATTAGAAAATAATATGAGAAAAACTTGAATTTTTAAAAAGTCTCTCTCATCTTCTACCCATACTAAGTGAAAGCTACCCTGATGAACCTGTCTCTTACCTTTTCTTCCCCTGATTCACTGTCTAAGAAAACATCTTAAAGAGAAACAAAACTCCCAAGAATATCTAAGTGGGAGGTATCAGATCCATTAATCAAATAGTTTCATGTTTCAAGTGATCCAGAGAATACATTATGTAAACAGATGAGATGTCTATTCACAACTCTTGGTTTTATAACCATCATCCCTGGAAATGTACACTGAAAAACAGATAGCATCTAACAGAAACCTGATCTAGACCTATCCTGTTCTTCCAAGTTGAAAACAATGAAAAATGAACACATTATCATTCAATAAACTTCTACAATAGTTTTAAATTCTGAAACAGTAGCTTTTATAGATGTCCATGTGAATCTTGGAACTAAATGCAACAGCAAATATTTGGAAATACTGATAGAATAAATGAAAATAAGAAACTATCAATGTTTGCAATCCACCCTGCCACCATTAAAAAAAAAAGGCACAACAGGCTGAGGATTTAGCTCAGGGGTTTTGCACCTGCCTTGCAAGCTCAAGGTCCCAAGTTCAGTCCCTGGTACCAAAAAAAAAAAAGCACACAAGGGGAAGATCACACAGTGAAAGGACTTCAGTAGGGGTTTTAAAAATATACTAGAAAATACTAGTTAGAAACTAACTACAAAGATAACTTTGGGGTTTTTACATTTTTAGGACAGATTAAAACTCTCAAAGACCTAAACTTTTAATTACAAATTGGTAGTTAGTTAAACTGTGTTGAAAAGTGACACTCAAACATACTTGAAGCTTTATGGTAAAAGTCAAATGTTACTTCTTCTTCAGGAGCTTTTTGAAGCTGCTGCTTCTCTTCCAGTAGACCCAGTGCCAGAATGTGGAATGCCTAAAGGAGAAAATTAAGGGAAGATCTTTAAAATTGTGCTTCCTTGGAGTTGGGCGTAGTGATTCACACTTGTAATCCCAGAACTCAGAAGGCTGAGGCAGGAGGATCAATCATGAATTTGAGGCTAGTCTGGGCCTCACAGTGAGTTCAAGATCAGCCTAGATCACATAGTAAGACCATTTCTCAAAAAAAAAAAAAAAAAAATGCTTAACCTCACTTCAAAGTAAAGAAATCTGAAGTAAAGCAAGATCACCTCATTATGGACTTATTAAAGGACTGGCAAATATTAATAAAATTCAAAACTAGCAAAAGTTCTTTCACTGTACTAGTGGCAGGGAAGTGAACTAGTAAAATGGTTTTGGGTGTCAGTTTGACATTATCAGTCAAAAATGTAATGATACTGGGCCAGGGATTTAGCTCAGTGGTTCTGCAGCCTGCCTTGTAGGTGCAAGGTCCCGAGTTTGATCCCTGGTACCAAAAAATTAAAAAAAGTAATGCTACAGATACAGTACTATGACTTAGTAAGATAAATACATTTATTTAAGTAGGCAAAGACCTTTGTATAAGGAAATTCATTATAGTGTTCTTTGTTATAGCAAAACCCTGAAACAACTTGAGTGCATATTAAAAGGAGAGTAGCTAAAGGCAGGATAGTATACCTATGGAATTAAGAGAAAGGCAGATCAGTATGTGCTAATGTTGGAATGATTTTGTTGGAATGATTTCCGTAATGTACAAAACTGTTATCAGTGCTTATTCCCAAGTAGGGCAATGGGAAACACAATCAAAATTTTAACTCGATATCAAATATATCTCTTTAGAAATTAGACCAGCCTGGGCTCCATAGTGAGTTCCAGGTCAGTCTCAACTACATAGTGAGACCCTGTCTCAAAAAACAAAAACAAAAACAAAAACAAAAAACCAAACCAAAAAAAAATTAAATATTGTAAGTGTATATTTCATTATTATAACAAAAATTGAGATATACATATAGCATGATAGTACAATGGACCCATTAGGAAAAAATAACAAAATAACAAAAAGGTGCTAAATAAATGTCCAGTTATAGATACCATGAAGTGGCATGATTAAATAAATTATCTATAACAGTATTAAGAAAAAATAGCTGCTTCTACTTGAGCTAATTCTCATAACTCTATGAAATAACTATACTCATTTTACTAATGAGAAATTTGTTCATCCTAAATAAGTGGGGAATCCACGATTCAAGTCTAGGCCTGTGTATCTTTAACACTGTCTTCTTTTAATAAAAATAAAATAAAAGACGAAAAAATCATGATGCAACAGTGACACGACAATTTATAACTAGAATGATTAGGACTTTTGTTTTTCTTCAGGTTTCTAAAAGTATAAAAGGTTCCTAAGTGTGAGGACATTAAGACATAAGAATGTATCACGACAGATATTTGTGCCATGTGTAAATTATTTTAACAATCCTTAGTATCAAGTATACACATATGATTCCAACTCAAGCCAGGATCTTCTCCAGACCCCAAGCATTCTAGGAACATCTCAGGTAAACATACCATTTGGAGCATTCCTTCAGTCCACAAGCTAGAGTCTGTGTCTACTGCCCGTTCAAATATGGTCCTGAGAATGTACATCATAACATCACAGCTGAGAAGGTTAATCACCTTGCTGAAAGCAGGACAGAACTCAGGAGGTGGTGGTGGTGGCAATGCTATAGAGAGTAGGGGATGGAAACAGGTATATTTTTAATGGGGTTATCCTACATATTTAATTGCAAATGTAAAAAAAATTATGTAAATGACATGTGATATTTTGCTCCTTTAAAGCACCGAAAATATCAATGTTGAGAAAAATGTAATTCACTCACTCTCCCAAAATAAACTATATTTGCTATTAATTTAAAATTCTGTGAGCTCATTTGAGCCACATCTTAATATGTGAACAGAAAGCAAGATTCTTTGTACTTCTTCTACTTGCCCACTCCCAACAACCAATAAAATAAAAGCAACAAATAATACAGAACACAAATTTTGGACATAATTTGGAATCTCACTTTTTTACCTTCATCTTTATTATCTTGTTTTCTCTTTTTCTTCTGCATATGTTCAGCCTATTAAAAAGAAAAAAAATCTATTATTAAATATATTGCTTAGCAAACACAAAACAAATGGAATACTGTTTTACAACAGGGAAGACCCACTCAGCTTCTAAAATATTTTATATATTGAAGCATATTTTCAAAATGCTATCTTGTCCTAGAAAGAAAATAGCCATCCTAGGGAAGTCACTAAAAATTAGGATAAGGAATGCTTTTTTCTCTCCCTCTCCCTTCCTCCCTCCCTTCTTTTCCTTCCTTCTTACTTATTTATGGTTTTTGTTGTTTGTGTGTATGTGTGTGTGGGACTGGAGATGGAACTCAGGACCTTACGCTTTCAAGGCAGGTGGTGACATCACTGAACCAAATCCCCAGCCCAGTTTATGGTTTTTTTAAGACAGAGCCATGCTGTATAGTCCAGGATGGCCTTGAACTCACTATGTAGCCCAGGCTGGCCTCAAATTTGTGGCAATCCTCCTGCTCCAGCCTCCCAAGTACTAAGATTACAAGTATGTGCCACCATGCCTGACTGAGGAATATTTCTATCAAGAACTTAAGGCTCAGTCCAAGGATTTAGCTCAGTGGTTCTGCTGCCTGCCTCACAAGTGCAAGGTCCCAAGTTTGATCCTCTGCACCCCTCTAAAAAACGAAACAAAACAAAACAAAAAACAACAAAAACTTAAGACTCTACTCTTTTCAGTAAAAAATATTTCCCTAGTACCTATTTCATATGTGATGGTCTGTAAATTAATAATTTACAAAGTCAAAACCAGGTATCACCTTAACCAAATGATCAAATTTTAACATCACCCCTCCTTCATGGGACCAAAAGACATTAAATGGCCACTGGTGTGATATAATATATCACCTGTGTAGTTTCTTGTGCAATTTGAAGTTAATCTTGACTAATGGCTATGTTACCACCCTGAATACACATTCCAATCTCATCTGAATCTAATCATGAGATTACAATCATTTTCATGCAGGCTATGGAGGATTCTAAAAGAAAACTACAATGTTATGAAAGACAAGGCAAAGGACTTAGCATAAAAGACAGGATGGAAGCTTGATAGCCAAATAAAGTGTGGGATCATGAAATACAAGAAACTTCATCAAATCCTCATCCCCTGAAGGCAGGTAACAAGGACATTTCTAGTATATATAGATACAAAGAATATTATCTGTACACTAGATAAGAGTATTGATTCAATTTTAATTTCTTGGGGGAGAATATGCCTTCTACTAATGAGAACCAGCATGAAACTACAGTAGACTTGAGAATTTTTCTGTGGATTTACAAAAAGTAAAGCATTTTAGGTTGGTTTAGTGAAAAGCATACTTTCTCCTACCTTGCTGTGCTGTGTTTTGGAGTAATGATAAAAGTACATATTAAAGTCTTTCAGTGATTCGTCTTTCAGTTCATAAACTCCATGGCCTGATACACCTGGTTTCCTAAATAGACAGAAAATGCAGAAGTGAACTGCAATATTCTTAACAGTAGAGAAAAGAGAAAAAAATATGAATCTAAAATTTAATTTAAAAATTACAATATAGAAAGAATAATTGTATTTCATCCAGTCCAGACAACAGTGAAGATGTGTTCTACAGTTATAAAATTCAAACAAATCTGGGAAGATTTAAAATACTATTGAGATCTGACTCTATGCCCTACTTATATTCCTGAGATTTCTTTTATAGCCTTTCGAACCTAAAGATTGTCTACTAAACTACCACATACTTCGTTGTCTAAGGTGAAATCTAAAATGGTAGGGAGACATATTCTTAGCAAATTGTACATGAAAATAGCGCGAGTCTTCTATACAGTACTCCAAGGAAAAGCACCAATGCCAAAATATCACATGATATATGCTCTGAAATTAAGCAGCTTTGGTTGGCTGGCTTTCTTTCCTTCTTTCTGTCTCTCTCTATCTCTGTCTCTTTCTCTCTCTCTCCTTCCCTCCCTCTCTTTCTTTTTTTTTAAGGGAGGAAATGTTTATTTTGGCTCAACAGCTTTGGGTTTCTGCCTGAATCTTAAGTCAAATACATCACTCAACATCATTTGAACATAAAAAAAGCTCTAGCTCAGGGCCAGGGATTTGGCTCAGTGGTTCCACTGCCTGCCTCGCAAGCACAAGGACCCGAGTTTGATCCCCGGTAAGAAAAAAAAAAAAAGCTCTAGCTTATTGTATAAATAATTTGAACCCAGGAATTTATTTATAGACATTATACTATATTAAGCAGAAATTCACTCTGGTATCAATTTTTGAAGTTTGAAGAATTAATCCAATTAAAATCTTATTTCCATTTTAAGAATGAAAGAATTATAAATTTTCTAAATTTACTGGAGAAAACTAAAATAAGAAAATAAAAAATATATAGAACAATGAATAAAGTCATGGCTTCCAATTAATACTATTGGAAAAGTTTATTAACTTGCTATCTAAATCACCCAGTATCACAAATAGGTATTTCTCATTTACCTCCCCAAAAAACTTATCTCTTCAACAAAGGTACTCATTGCCACTGTGTGGCTCTCATCTTCACACTTCGAATCTCTATTCCTCTTTGTATTGGGAGTCTGTCAAGAACTTCAGACTTCTACAAAGCACGCAAAGTGTAAGAAAAGGATCCATCTACCCTTTAGAACAAGTACAAAGATTGAGCACTTACTTAAATGTGGCCACTTTGTTTATGACATTCTCTAAGCCAGTTTCATTATTTTCCTGTTGAAACAATATTTTTATCATTTTTAATCTTCATGTATTGAAATACATTTTTTTTTTCTGAGACAGGGTCTTGCTATGCAGTTGAGTGTGGCCTTGAGCTCACTATGTAGCCCAGGTTGGCCTCAAACTTGCAGCAGTCCTCCTGCCTCAGTCTCGTGAGTGTTGGGATTACAAGTGTGTGCCACTACTCCCAGTCTTGAAATACATTTTTATGTCTAAAGTACTTTACACACACACACGCATACATTTAAAAAAATAAAGTACTTCACAGACAAAAAAATATGTATAAAAATGAATCCAGTTAGCTGGTTTGGTGAACTAATTTCTTAGGAGTTAATATCTATGTTTAAATTGAATAATGAAGAAATGTTTGCCTTTATGCTCCACAACATGCATCCCAGCGTGTGTACATGTACAAACACACTCACACACACATATCCATTACCAAAAGTTCAAAGAAGAGAAGCTTTTTTTAATGTAGTACTGTCATTACCCACATTTGGGAACATTCTCATGTTTAACTGCTGAATCCAAAGTAACAGGATATATGGGACCCAATTACAAATTTCTATGAAAATACATGTGTAGATGTCCTGATGTAGTCTAACATTTACAATTACTTAAATTTTCAAAAGGAAAAAATCATGAATCTTTAGGACTATTATGTTAATTTGTATACATACATAATCATAAATACCGTCTGTGGTGGCCACAACAATGAACCTTCCAGAGGAAGCATAAATGTTTTGTTGAAGGAAGCATAAAGGGCCACACAACTCAGCTGTTGTGCCCTCGTGACACTAATCCTGAAGATGCTCTCCAACAAGGAGTAAGGTGGAGATACCAAGATATCAAAGATACTAGGATTGCCCTGGGAGACACAGAAAGGTGTCAGTGGCAAAGCCAGGCATGGTGGTGTACACTTATAATCCCAGCATTTAGGAGGCTGAGGCAGGAGGATTGCTGTGAGTTTAAGACCAACCTGGGCTACATAGTGAGCTTCAGATCAGTATCAACTGCTTAGTGAGACCCTGTCTCAAAAAACCAGAAAAAAAAAACCAAAAAAAAAAACCCAAACAAACAACAAAGAATGGTGTCAGTGGCAAGGTGTCAAGCCCAAGAGGAAGATGCTTTATTATTATTATTGTTATTTTTTGTACTGGAGATTAAACTCAGGACCTTGCACTTGCAGGGCAGGCAGTGGCACCACTGAGATAAATCCCTGGACCAGGAGATGCTTTTTTAAATATTAAATTGATATATAATATGGTGGTGCATGCCTGTAATCCCAGCACTCAGGAGGCTGAGGCAGGAGGATCACTATGAGTTCAAGACCAGTCTGGGCTGCATAGTGAGTTCCAGGTCAATCTCAACTACATAGTGAGACCCTGTCTCAAAAAAAAAAGACATATAACATTGTGCATATTTATGAGGCACAGTAGATTCAAAAATGTACGATGAACAAATCAGGGTAATTAGCATTTCTAAACTCTCAAACATTTATAATTTCTATGTGTTGGGAACTTTTGGTCTCTTTTTCTAATTATTTTGAAGTATATCATAAATTGCTGCATAGTTACGGTACCCTATTGTGGTATATAATACTAGAACTAGTGCTATGATACCACCTGTCATCTAACCTCTAGCCATCTGGCCTCCTGCTAACCTTTTAGTCTTTAGAGACCACTATTATATTCTCTTCTTCTATGAGATAAACTTTTCCATAGGATGCTTCTATTTAATAGTCTTCCTACTTTCTTTCATAAGAATCAGACCTGCACAATTCTCTGGTGGCTCTCCCAGCCTTGCCCAGTTCCCTCATAACTTTATTTATTTTTAAAAAGTTTTTTTAGACTATCTTTCTTTATTTTTGCCTCTTTTTTTTCTTTCTTGTGACATGTCTTGTTGTCTACATGCTTATTTGTTGCCTTTTTCTTTTGGAAATTATCCTGATCTCCACTTACCCCAGTTTTGTCAATGGCTATTTTCTCCAGTTTTCTGTTATTTTTGAAACAGGGACTCTTTATGTAGTTCAGGCAGGCCTTGAACACCCTATATAGCCCAGGCTGGAATCAGACTGTAGGTTATCCTCTTGCCTCAGCCTTCTAAGTGCTGGGATTATAGGCATGCAGCACCATGCTTAGCTTACTCACAACTTTAATATAAAGCCCTTTTTATCTTCAGATCTGCTTCTCAGAAGACCCATATTAACATACCATCCCAAAAGACTCAGGATTTCAGGGAGCCTCTTTTTATCTGGTGAAATACTATTTAAAGTAAATAAAAAGTCAAGGAGTTTTTCTTATAATTAGAGGTTATACCACTAAGGGATGATATAAAAATATGGGGCTTTGTGATTAATGTAGTCTCCTGAAATTTAAAGCAACTTCCAATTAAAGAAAAACAACAAACTATGCCTTCTTGAGGTGAAGCAAGAAAAAAACAGACTTACATTCTCAGGCAAATTTTTGGCAATAGCACTGTGTGGCATGGGTTCGATACAAAGCAAGTGAACAATTTCTCTCATTGTGACCTCTTCTTTGGTCACATTTCCCACTCCAGGCACATATCGCTCTCCTAATACAATGAAAAGAAAAAGAATAATTAATTGCTTTTTATTTAAATTTCTCCTCATCAGATGTATTTATATATAGAACATTGCATTAAGTTTAGTCTATGAGAGAAGGAGCAAAAATTATTTTAACACAACCAGGGATTTAGCCTAGTGGTTCTGTCTCCTGCCTCACCAAGTGCAAGGTCCGCAGTTTGATGCCTGGGACAAAAAAAAAAAAAAAAAAAAAAAAAAAAAAAAAAAAAAAAAAAACATTTTCCCCAACTCTGAATAAGAGTTTATTTTTAAAAGACAAGGGTGAAAACTGAGGAACCTGAAGAATCCAGGCATCTTATCTCATGTGTCACACACAAACACACACACACACACAAACACACACACACACACACACACACACACACACTATAAAAACAAGGCCCCTCAATTAATTAGCTTGTTTCTAATCCAGAAAACAAGGCAGATGGCATGTGAATGAACAATGGCCATCACTGAATAGTTTTTCTTTGAAGATCTTTCTCAATATTGTCTGTACCTGCCAGGCACAGCAGGACACACCTATAGTTCTAGAACTTGGGAGGCTGAGGCAGAAGGACTACCATGAGTTTTAGGTCAGCCTGTGTTACATAGTGTGTTCAAGGCCAGCCTTAACTACACAGTGAAATTCTATCTCAAAAGAAAAGTCTCTACTTGTGGTGAGACTGACCAACAGAATGTTTGAAGTGAACGTGAAAAAGGAAGGGACTTTCTGGAGAACAGTTCAAGACTCCTGGAATGCATGGTAAGAGTTTAGAGCAGAATCTGAAGGAAAACAGTCAGCAGAATTAAAAGCAGTTTACTCTCCGAGACATTTACTGTGGCCATTGCATCCCCTCTGTCCTGATAAGATTGCTTAAACTAGGTCAGCATGTTTCATGTAACAGATCATCCGATGCCAAACCATCCAACGCCAAACCATCTGATTGTAGCCCTGTCCTCTGACCAAAACTTCTATACAATAGGCTGCACATGCCTTCCTTCCATGTCTTTGTTCTCATGTCCTGGAGTTGCAAATAAATAACCACAGAGGTATCAGCTCACTGCTATTTCCCTGAAGCTCTTTTATGCTGAAATAACAACTCCTCTAGATCCTCTCAGTGACTGAACTAAAGTCTCATCTCCAATTAATCTTTTCTGTCATTTACACAGCCATGGTAGCATACTGCAACAATTATTTAAGAAACGACAAAGTGAAAACTGAAAAACAAAATACTTAAAAATGTCTTTATGGGTCAAATGAAAAACCAGTAATATTGCAAAAATGCCTACATAATCAGGTATTCGCTTTTGTTTTTTTTCTGGTACCGGGGATCGAACTCAGGACCTTGTACTTGCCAGGCAGGCGTGGTACCACGGAGCTAAATCCCCAGCCCAGGTATTCACTTTTCATAGCAATGAAATGAAAAAATGGAGAAAGGCAATAGTCAAGTTAACTCTGGAAACTTCACTGGAATCTACAACATATGATTTGAGCAGATTTATAATACATAGCTATATATCATCATCATCTGTATGAAGACCTATGATCTCTGTAAGATACAAAGAAAGAAACCCTTAGGAGAGCTGATGAATTCCACAAGTTTGTCAAAGAATGGCTTTTTAAATGAATTTCTTTCTAGTAGACTCAGTCATCTTTACATTTGTGAAGGCCTTGGTAATTTTCACCAAAGAGTAAATTTTGGTGCTAGAAGCAACCTTAAGATATCATATAGGAGTCAGGCATGGTGGCACATGTCTGTAATCCCAGCACTCAGGAGTCTGAAGGAGAAAAATTACCACAAGTCTGAGGCCAGCCTGGACTACACAGTGAAACTGTCTTAAAAAAAGCAAAACAATCAAACAAACAAGTATTATGTAGATTCCCTTCACATTTTACAAATCAGGAATCTGAGGGTCAAAGGATATGAATAAGATGCTTGTGATAGTTGATGGCAAGGCCAAACTAAAGCTTCTGATTCCTGTTCCAAATATTTTTCTACTTAATATTCTTTACATTATAAAACCAGAGATAATAATTTTTAAACAAAAATGTTGACTCTTGAAAGTAATGAACTTATACCCAGAATTTATCAAGTATTAACTACCAGAAATTTCTACTATCATATGTTAAGAATAAACACAAAATTTTCCTTTAGTTTTTATAGTTTGGTAAACTATATAACCAATTTCATTATATTTTCCACATTTTCAATTTGCTGCTTCGTGGTGGTGTTAGCTTCTTACTGGAATATTCTAGACAGAAGTATGTAGTATGGAAAGGCTTACAACATTATCTACTAAGATAAATAACTGATTCTGCAACTAGCTTTCAGACAAGTTATGGCTAGAATCTTCACTAGGAACTACAAAAACAAAAGTATCTGGTGTAGCAAAGTAAAGAACAGAAGCCAGAATGAGAAGCTAAGAATAAGATAATGGCAATAAATGCATGTGACTGGTAAAATAAGACTATGATATAGTATATATTTGTCTTCAATAGGTCAGAATTTGTAAGTATTTCTGCAAAGAATACTTACATTACTTTCAGCTGAAATATAAAACACATTTCTGAAATATTAAACACATGCCATAATAACTTGATAAACATCATTTCTAGCAAAGAACATTTTTTTCCTTTCCCTAACTAATCTCAATGAAACTGGATATAACCAATATTTGTGCAAAGTTAATTTGACACAATGACATAATAAAAGTGCAGTTTACTTAGATTATATTTAGATTATACAGTTTACTTACATTATATTTAAGTTTCATATACTTAAGTAATTTTTAGCACTAAATGAGGTTTTAAAAATCTACATTCCTAACTGGGGTAATTATCCTAGAAGTTTGAAGCCCATAAAATTACAAACAAGGCATTAAAAATTAAAAATATAAGATGTGCTCTTTTAAAGGTGAGTTAAATCTATCAATCACATCGGTCATGTTAATCTCTAATATTCTATGTCATATTTGAGAGAGGAGTAAGATGATCAATTATAGTTCTCATTAACATTTGCTCTAAAAAGTAACCCATATTTTATAACATTTTGTTTTAGTCTTACCCACAACATAGATGAGGACCTGAAGCATTTCTTCTATTAATGTATTATACTGCTTAATCAAATCCTAAAATTGAAAATGAATAAATTAGTTACATAAGAACCCAAAACTCTATAAAACATGCATTACTCATAGTCCATCCAGTCTATTATTTTCTTTCAGAACATAGCAATACAAATTATGAGGTTAACAGTTCCTTTTCTTCTTTCTTTTTTTGGTACCAGGGATAGAACTCAGGACTTTATGCTTGCAAGGTAGGGGTGGTGCCATTGAGCTAAATTCCCGGACCTTAATAGTTCCTTTTTTTGAATTCAAATCTAAAAAATTTCACAATACCTTTCACATGAATACTGAACAACTATTATTATTGTTTTCATTGTCATTATCCTTATATCATTACTTATCCTAAGTCAACAAGTAAATTCTAATCTTTAACTCTTCCTCCACTATTAGCGTCCTTCTTACTGGGCTAGTAAGATAGTGGTTCAAATAGTTATGGTGAAAGCACCCTTCTCTAACACATCTTTTACTTAAGTATTGTATCAAATCAGATATTAATTTTTACTAAGTATCATGACTAAAAATTCGTTTGTAGGTAATGTCCTATTTACTGCCACTTTGCAAGGGGCTTCCAAAGTGGAAGAATGTGACTTCATGAATTCAAAACAGTGAAGGGTTACTTTATAAGCTAGTACTTCAAATATTGAAACAACAGATGTGACAAAACATCATGAGACATGGTTGGGGATTTAGCTCAGTTGTTCCGCCACCTGCCTCGCAAGCACATGGTCCCAAGTTCGATCCCCCGTACAAAAAAAAAAAAAAAAAATTTATGAGACAAATTAAAAATTCTGTAAAATGTTTGTTTGCTTTTTGTTTTTTGAAACAGGGTCTCGCTATGTAGTTGAGACTGACCTGGAACTCACTATGTAGCCCAGGCTGGTCTTGAACTCACAGCAATCCTCCTGCCTCAGCCTCCCATGTGCTGGGATTACAGGCGAGCATCGCTGCGCCCGGCCAAATTCTGTAAAGTGTAATCAATATGATAAAGGAAGAGACAGTAGTCCTTACTAAGTAAGGAAAGAGCTTTTACAAGAACAGGAACAGACTAAGAACAGGAACTGATAATTCACTGCCCTCTGCAAAGGTTAACAGTAATTAAAACACAGTCAACTCCACTGATTATTAAAAACTGCAAGTTAAAGTGAAATGTTATTTATCACCTATCCGATCAACAAGGATTTAAAATATTGTACCATTAGAAATGTACATACTTTGAGTTTAAACAGAAATAACTTCTGAGATCAATTTCTTGATATATATGAAGAGCCTTAAAGAGAATGCTGCTTTATAAATCTAAGAATTTATCTTAACCAAATAATTAGGTAAATGTTTTAAACATTGAGGTTCAGATATCTGTAAGATCAAAAAACTAGAAAAACCTCTAGCATCAGAAGACTCAAGTATAACACATTCATTTAAAATAATACAAAAATGATGATACAGCTGCATATTTATTTAATGACAAGAAAAAAAATCAGTATTTTGCTAACCATAGGCAGTAAATTTGCAAAACAGGACATATAGAAGGATATAAGTTTTGTTTTAAAAACAAACAAGACACCAACATTTCTTTTCTTCTGTCTTCTTTGGTACCAGAAACTGAACCCAGGGCCTTGTGACTGCCAAGCAGGAACTGCATTGCTGGCTACATCCCTCACCCACCAATACTTTATTTTCTGAAGGTAGTATTTCATGTGGTATTTTTCCCTTTGTTGATCTATATATTCTAACTTTTCTGGAGTGAAAAGGATCTGTGTGTATATATGTACACATACAGTACTTTAAATCATCTCTAGATTATGATACCTAGTATTATATAAATGCTATATAAATAGCTATTACACTGTAGTACATTAGTACAGATGGATTTTTTTACATTTTTCATATATTTACTTAATCTGTAATAGACTTAATACATGGACATAGAACCAACACATGCAAGGGCCAACACTGTACATAAAGAAATAAACTTGAAAATAGTACGATACATTTTTCCCTCAGACTAATTCACTTGTCAGTTTCTTTGCTCACCTGGTCTTTTGTGGATATAGTCTTGGTAAAAGCATCAGTAAGCTCATACCTCTGAAGAATAAGTAACAAAAACTTGTTGGGATCCATTAAAGATGCACCAATCTGTGAATGAAATATAGTATCATGCTTCTTCTCTATTAAACACAGAAACAGTTTTTTCCTCATAGCACCAGAAAATTATAAAGTAAGATTGTAGAAAATAATATAGCAGCTGCCTCTATTTCTATGCTTTCTTATTCAGTTTAATGGCAAAAAAAATTTTAACTTAAAAATAAATTATAGAAAAAAGGATCAAGATTATTATGTACATGTACAAATTTCCTATGCTGAATGTGATCATTATATATATCTAAAATGTACCAATAGTAGTGCATGCCTAAAATCTCAGCACTCAGGAGGCTGAGGCAGGAGGATCACCATGAGTTTGAGGCCAGCCTGGGCTACATAATGACTTCAAGGCCAGTCTGAACTACACACTGAGGAAAAAAAACAAAACAACCAATAAAACTAATTTAAATAATAAATTATAGTCTCTTCTAGTCTCTTATCATGAGATACACAGAAGGAAGAATAAGGCATAAATATGAAAAGTAACTTAAACAGGTACCTGAAGCATGATAATATCTTTATCATACATTTCTTCTCTGCACTTAACATCTTGATAATAAAATACCTATAAATAAAGAAGGTAGATGCTAAAAGACATTTTATTTCAAACAAAATTTTCAACAAAATCTATCCTTAAAATTTTCAGTTAGGAACCCTTAGAAAAAAGTTGTAAATCTATGAATCATTTTAAGGGATTTGTGATGATAAATTGAGAAATATGACACTGAAAACATTTGAGAGTTTAAAATGCTGTACATTTATTTTTAGTATATTTTTAAAAATTATTTTCTCTATTTCAATAAAAGTAAACCAATTTCTACACTTAATCATCACACCATTTTTCTTCCAAGTTTTATTTCCCACCCTTCAGGGAAAGTATTCCTTATATGCTCTAAAATAGAAGGAAAAATTATAAAGTAGCCCTTAATAAGACAGATGATGTAAAGATTAAACGTCTCTAAGTAATCCTTAGAAAATAATTATGTTAACAGGAAACTTCTAAGGAAAGAGAGAGAAAAAGAAAAGAAAAAACAAACAAACAAAAAAATACAGGGAACTTGTGTGGTACTACTTACTGGCTTTCAGATCATCTATTCACTTAAACACCCCCATTTCTTTAATTTAAGATGGGACAAGCAATAGCTAGCATAAAAGGAGAAACATTTATATGGTTCCTAAAACTTTTATTTCTAAGAGTTTATATGAGAATAAAAGTAAATTCCAAGCAGAATGTAAAATTGTACAAAAGAAAAATACACTTATAAATGTGAATAACAGACCTCACCATACCTGGCTAATGAGAGACAGCCCATTTCTTCGCCACATCTCAGCAACTACCTGGGCAACCAACACCAGACAACGCAGAGGATATTCCACAAGTACCTCTACTTTCAAGTCCTCCTGAAACAGAGGGAGGTCAGTTTTACAGGTTCTCATAGGGCTTGAGTGTATCTTAGTCAGGACACCACATATTTATTCAGTGGTTTTCTCGTCAGGGAAATGGAAGGTTTGAACTAGGTGACTTCCAAGTCCTTGTGATTGACGCTTCAATGGGATATATATATAGATGGTTGGGTTTCAAAATATTTTCTTTCTACTGAACAAAAAAAGGGTGTTCAGAAATATGATATAAGCAAATCAATACTTAACAGGATCACTTACAAAAGGTACAAATTCATGCAGTCTTGACACAGCACCCAATCTGCTTAAACGTATGTGAAGACCTAAATTGTTTTAAAAAGAAAATGAGAAAGCAATTAAGCCCAACCAGTGTGTTTACTAGTTAATAAATCAAGTTTAGAAACAGGTGATTTCAGTCTTTTTTTTTTTTTTTTGGTACTGGGGATTGAACTCTGGTCCTTGTGCTTCTGAGTCAGGTGGTAGAACCACTGAGCTAAATTCCCAGCCCTTTGAAACAAGTGATTTAAATGTATATTTACCAGGCTCAGTATATAGCTCAGATGTACAGTGTTTGCCTAGTATGTTTTAATCAACATCTCCTCTCCTCCCAAAAAGTACATTAACTAAATTTAAAAATGACAGTCTGAAATGAAAACTTTTGACATTTCATTACATTTGTTTGTATTTATTTATTTTTTTGGTACCGGGGATTGAACTTAGGACCTTGTACTTGGGAAGCAAGAAAGAGAACCACTGAGCCAAATCCCCGGCCCAATATTTCATTTTGAAATACAGTATTATCAAAATACTTAAAATGATATACTATGCAAGGTATGCTCACACATTATATAAAGTTAATATGCTGCCTCTCCAGATGTTTTTTCTGCTCTTGATATCAAAATAACTGAAAACTATTCTAAGCATTTTTATTTTTTTAGATTTTATTTTTATTAGTACATGTTTGTATAACATAATGATTACATTCCTTGTGCAGAGTTGGTACGTGTACATAACAAATCTTAATTTTTTTCATCTCTTTTCCCACTCCTCTCTCCTTCTTCCATCTCTTGCTTTCCTTCCCATTTGTGAAAGATCTATCTCTCTACTTCCTATTTTGGGTTTTTTATGTAAGAGAAACCATATGATCTTTTTTTTTTTTTTTTTTTTTTTTTTTTTTTTTTTTTTTTTGGTTTTTTTGAGACAGGGTTTCACTATATAGTTGAGATTGACCTGGAACTCACTGTATAGCTCAGGCTGGTCTCAAACTTACAGTGATCCTCCTACCTCAACCTCCCGAGTGCTGAGATTACAGGCGTGCACCACCACACGCGGCAGAAACCATGTGATCTTTTATTCTTGTGTGTATGATTTACTTTATTTAACATTACAGTGTCAAGGTGCATCCATTTTCCTACAAATGATGTTATCTTTCTTATGGCAGAGTAATACTTCACTGTGTATAAATACATTTTTTTTTAACCCACTCATCTGTTGATACAGGCCGCTTCCAAGATTTAGCTATTATGAGTTGTGCTGCTCTGAAGATGAGTAGACATGTGTCATTGTAATATGATGGTTTTAACTCTCTTGAGAAGATACCTAAAAGGGGACTAGCTGAATCAAATGGAATTTCTAGTTTCAGGTTTTTTTCCTGGTATCGGAGATCAAACTCAGGACCTTGCACTTGCAAAGCAGGTGCAGCGCCACGGAGCTAAGTCCCCAGTCCTAGTTTCAGATTTTTGAGGAATCTTCATACTGATTTCCATAGTGGCTGTACCAGTTTACATTCCCACCAACAGTGTAGAAAGTTTCCTTTTTCCGTACTGCCTTGCCATCATTTGTTATTAGATTTGATGATGGTCATTCTCCCTGGGGTTATTCTAAGTATTTTAAAAATAAAAATAGAATCAAAATAAAATCACATGCTGTCAATGACACCATATATAAAAACTAACTTGCTAGGCATAAAATGGTGCCAGCCTGGGCAACATAGTTAGTTCAAGGCCATCCTGAACTAGGCAGTGAGACTCTGTCTCAAATCAACCAACCAACCAACAACAACAAAAAATACCCAAAAAGCAAACAAAGAAAACAAACTCAAAATGAATCAAAGATCTAAATAATTAAAACTATAAAATTCTCAGAATAACACTCTGGGGATTTAGCTCAGTAGTTCCAGCACCTGCCTTGCAAGCTCAGGACCAGAATTCGATCCCAAGTACCAAAAAAAAAAAAAAAAAAAATCCCAGCACATTAGAGGCTGAGGTAGTAGGATTTCCGCAAGTTTGAGGCCATCATGGAATATATATACTGAGTTCAAAAAAAAGGAGAAGGGCCAGTGATTTAGCTCAGTGATGCCACCGCCTGCCTCACATGTGCATGGTCCCAAATTTGATCCCCAGTACCCTGAAAAAGAAAGAAAATATAAATAAATTGGACTACACCAAAAACTCCTGGCATCAAAGAACACTATCAACAGTGAAAGGCAACCCATATCATGAGAAAACATATTTGCAAATTATATATCTGATAAACTGGTGATATCCATGGTATTTTAAAAAACCCCAACTCTGACAACTGAACAACAACAACAAAATCCTAATAAAAATTGAGCAAATCAACTGAATAGGTATTTCTCCAAACCAAGAAACAACTAATATAGCAAACCAATTAACATCTGAAAAGATGCTCAACATCAATAATCAGGCCGGGGATTTTGCTCAGTGGTTCTGCTGCCTGCCTTGTAAGCCAAGTGCAAGGTCCCAAGTTCAATCCCTGGTACCAAAAAAAACAACAAAACAAAACAAACAAACACCAGTAATCATTAGGGAAATGCAAATCAAAACCACAGTGAAATACCATTTACAAATACCATCCAAATGAAGATGGCTATTATTAACAAATGAAAATAAACACAAAATAACAAGGGTCAGTAAGGATGTGAAGAAATTTGGAATCCTTGTACATACACTTCTGATGGGAGTGTAAAATGGTAGACCTGCTATGGACACAGGATGGTGATTCCTCAAAAACATTAAACATAGAATCCCCATATGATCCATAATTCCTTTCTTTGTATGCACCCAAAAGAACTCAAAGAAAAGACCTTAAGAGACTCATGCATCTATGTTCATTAACAGAATTATTCACAGTAGCAAGAAAGAGGAAGCAACTCAAGTGTCTCAATTATGAATAGTTGAACAAAATAGCATACAATGTAGTTGTGTTTTTTTCTTTTTGAGACAGAGTCTCACTACATAGCCTTGAATTCACTACACAGCTTTGAACTACATGGCCTTGAACTCCCTATGGAGCCCAGGTTGGCCCTGAGCTCACAGCAACTCTCCTGCCTCAGCCTCTCAAGTGCTACAAGTATGTAGTCTCAAGAGTACAGGTATGTACCACTGTGCCAGGCCATACAATGGTAGTATTATTCAATCTTAAAAAAGAAAAAAAAACATCCCAACACATATTGCACCATGGATGAACCTCGATGATATCCTAAATGAAATAAGCCAGTCACAAAAGGATAATACTGTATGATTCCACTTATCATAGGTACCCAGAGTAGTCAAACTGAGACAGAAAGTAGAGTGGTAGCTGCCAGAGGCTGTGTGAAAAAAAGTAATAGAGAGCTACTGTTTAATCATAATGTTATCAGATGTCAGTTTTGGAAGTTAAAACAGTGTTGCAGATGGATGGTGGTAGTGGTTGAACAACAATGTGAATGTACATAATGCCAATGCACACTTAAAAATGATTAAAATGGTAAATTTTGTGCTGCATATATTTTGTCACAATTAAAAATACAAACATATGCACTTTGATAAAATTGTTTTAAAAAAAGACTGACAGGAGAATGGACAATTCAAATGGAAATTCAAATAACTAAAGAAAATCTATGATTTGTATCCTTTAGTGATGAGAAATGTTGACAGATTATTTGCTGGTGAAAATAGGCAGAGAGAAAGTGGAAGGTGAGTTATAGTTAGCTATTAAGTGCATACTCTAAAGACCCATTAGATGACCTAGATGAAAAATGGCCCAAGTAAATAAATATTCTTAAATAAATGTTATGGCAACAGTTCCTTAAAGAACAATGATAATGATGACCCTTAACTATGGGATCTGATCTGAATGTGTCTGAACATACTAGGTCTCGGAACAAAAATAAAAACTGCTACTCTATATATCTTTAAAATTTATTTCAAATATGGAAAAAGCAAATACCAGCAAGAGTCCTAGAGAGTGGCAGATGTATGCTCACAAGATCCTCAGATACTCTGTAGGACTTGGTTTCCAAAGTATGACCACACAGCTGGATTACTGTCTTGCTACCAGTCGTGAAGCTTGTGCTGCACCTCATCACAGCTTTGTGACATTCTTTATAAGCCACCAGTAAGAGTTCTTCCTGTAAGGAAAGTAAAAATGCAAACATGTCAATAGGTTAGCTGCTATAAATAAAAATATTTATTAAATAATGAGTGCAGAATTGATCTGTGTATCATTAGCGCTACCGCCACAAAAACTGCAAACCAGGAGGAAATACACATACACATACACACATATAAGCAAAGTAAAAAAATTTTATCATTAGATGGTACAAACTCATTTTCTTAAGAGGACAAAGAACCATAAACAATCTGGAAGACATGTTTGTGAAAGCAGCTTTTGAGTGGGCTCTAAAAGAACATGCCATATTCAGGGCCAGGGATATGACAAAGTGGCAGGGCATGTGCTTAACATGTGTGAGGCCTGGGTTCTACCTTCAGCACCATAAAAATAAACAAACCAACAAAAGAAGAAACCCTATAATTTTAGTATGTGGAAAAATGAGGAAAAAGTAGCACTGACAAAAAAATGAATAAAGGTTACAACAAAATAAACTTGGAATAATAAAGAATCAAAAGTCTAAGGGCTGGGAATTAAAAAAAAAAAATCTGGGTGAGTGTGGTAGGAAGAGGGATGAGTCAAAGGTCATGCAGGTCACTCTGAACACAGTATTTCTGTCACTGATTTTATCTTAAAAAAGCCTCTCAAGCACAACGTCCTGAGTTCAATCCCCAGTACCAAACAAAACAAACAAAAAAAAGAAACTATATGCCCAGATAAAATTTGGAAACATTTCCCTGAAAAATCAGCATGTTGATTAAAAGGTGTGAGAAGTTCAGTAGCTTAAAAAAAAAATCTTCTGTAATTTTGATAAACCCCAAATTTCCCAATTCTATGTGAACCTAGAACTTTTTTCTCTTCAAAACATCTATTAAATCAAACCAGGTGTGGTGGTGCACGCCTGTAATCTCAGTACTTGTGAGGCTGAAGCAGGTGGATTACCATGAGTTTGAGCCAGCCTGAGCTATATACAGCGAGACCTTGTCTCAAAAAAAATAAATAAATAAGTAAATAAAAATCTGTTAACATCAAACATGGAGGATACAATGCTTCTGAGATTTCCTATATGGATAAATGTAGCAACAACAGCACCATTAATAGAACAAGGAAAGGTGAAATGAGAAAATTCAAATTGAAAGTAGAAAGAAATGATGACAAGTCAATTTAGGATATTCTGAGCTTAAGTAGGAATATCTGTCACACAAACAGGTGACATTATAGCTTGGTAGAGTCATCGTTATGAAAATCTAATAAAGTAGTAGAAATAAAAGATAAACAGGGCCAGGGATTTAGCTCAGTGGTGCCACCTCCTGCCTCACAAGCGTAAGGCTCCTAGTTCGATCCCTGGTACCCAAAAAAAAAAAAAAAAAAAAAAAAAAAAAAAAAAAAAAGATAAACAAGAGAGGGGCCCAGGATTTAGCTCAGTGGTTCCACCACTTGCCTTGCAAGCTCAAGGACCATAGTTCGATCCCCGGTACCAAAAAAAAAAAAAAAAAAAACCCAAACCAAAAAAAAAAAGATAAACAATATATATGTGGGGAAAGTCTCTTAGCAGACAGAACTGCAAAAAAGGCAATTATTTATTGATATTGGCAATTGATAACAGAAGTATTAGCACAGCACAGTCTTGCAAAAATTTGAGAGAAAGAAAGACTTGAGAAGACTGAGGTACTTAATAGAATACAATTCTACAGGAAGATGGGGATCAAGAGAAGACCTCTAAATTTGATTATAGTTTTTTTCTAAACACAGTTCTAGTCCATTGGTAAAGGTAGAATCTGACCCGAAGCTGTATTAGGATCTAATGAGTAAAGATAGTAAGAGTAGATGACTTAGAAGGTTTGGGAGATGTGATGAAAAACAACATACACCTTGATCGCATCTCCCAACAACTATGCATGCCATTTTACATGAATGAATGAACAAGAAATAGTGCTGTAGTTCTTGGAAAATACTTCCTTGCTTTTTGTTCTAAAAAGCTACTGTGCCAGTTTAAAGGCTATTTTGTCTGAGTATGAGAATCACTTTGCACCTGTAACCAAAAGAGAAGAGGAAGACAGAGAGATTATTGTTCAGAAGTAGCAAAGTGAAAAAGAGGATTTTATTATCATGTTTAAGGACAGGAGAGTCCTGTGTATTTACAGGTAGGTGAATAAAAGAATGTGAAATACAAGTGGAGACAACTGAGGAGGCAAACTCCAAGGAAAAGTTATCAGTTGGAACCAAAAGTGCACATAGAACATTGGTTTTAGAAAGAAAGAGACCAACAGGAGAGAAATAGCTAAGATACAGAAATCTGGTCAGTGCATACATGATAATGAGGAAAGTATAGAGACACTAGAGGACATGGAGGAATCTGAATCAGGTAATGTCACGTTTCTCAAAAGAAACTAAATCAGGTCATCTTCCTCAAAGGGAATTTGCAGGAGTATTATTGCAGATAGGTAAATTAATTAGATATCTTGTAGGCAGTCAACACAAAGCCAGCCCAGGAGGAGCTAACATGGAGCACAATCAAGACAAATTCACTGAAGGCCAGAATTGTAAAAGGAGACAACCACACCCATGTAAGATATATAGCAGTGACTGATATTCTAAATAAGTACCAACCACCTGGGAGGGGGACAAAGATCTTCCAAGAAAGGTCCCTGACCCCACCCCTTTCCACCGAAAATCCTTGCTCAGTTCCTTCTATGCTTTCTACTTGACTTGTTTCCCCATTTAATCAGTACTGTCTGGGAGACTATACTTGTAATCTTATTGGTTGGTCATGGTTTTGTCCCACCTCACGCCCACGATATAAATTTCCATTGGGTCTTATAGTTTTGTCCTACTTTGTACCCACCTCACATGGCTTTGCTGTATAAAACTTCTTTGAAAAGTGGAGGGAGTGGGCAATCCACTTTCAGGTCCCCCTTCAGTCTCTCTTAGGCAGAAGCTTTCTTTCTCCTGATAAATTTTTCCTACGCTTAACCTCCATTGTTTCTAGAATTCATTCTTTGATTTTAATGAACAGGAACTCGTGTTTCAGATATCTAGTAGGTTTGAGAGTTACATCTCTTCTTCCTATATCAGTATTAGTGTATTTAAAGAAGGTCATCACCTAAAATTGTTGTTTAAGAAACTACTTTAGTTCTGTATTTGGAAAGTAATATTTAAAGATTTATTAAAAACTATCACTAAATTTATTAAAATTTAATTATTAAATTTATTTATTAGACTTTTACATGGCTTAACACATGTACTAAAACTATTCACTCCTTTCTATTCCTGAAATACTTAAAAGTCTACATGGTCTTAATTATCAACTCACTAATATTTTCAAATAAATAAATGTGTGTAACAATATGTGCATTTTTAAATGCTGTGTTTCCTCTAAATAAGCAAAACCATCCTGAGGCACATTTTCTAATCAAGTACATAAAACTGGATATTCCTCTAAATTTAAATAACAAATTCAAGTATCTAAGAAATGTATACTAAATATATAATAAAAATTTACATCAAGGATGCTCCATATAAAACATTAATAACTATTAGAGCACTCAAAAAGGCAATATTCTTAGTAATGTATTTTACTTACATCACAGGCACACCACTCTTGGAACATAAGTAAAATATTTTTCAGCTGCATCTGTATAGCAATGGCAGCCTCCCAGTCAGGATCTACTTCAATGTGTTGCCCAACCTGTCTTCTGATTTCTTCCATTCCCTGTAAGAAAAGGTTGGTAAACATATATTACCCTCTTTTTTTGCTCCCCTACTGGCAAGATATAAAACTGTGAGGATTTATATTTATAAAAACATATTTTAACTTTTAACATGGTTTTTATACTAGGTCAGAATACAGGCGTTCAAATCTCAGCCTTCAAGGAAGAGGACATCTAGCAAGTATCAGCTCTGTCTAGCTACGTGCAGGCTCAAGTTATATGATGCTGGGCAAACTACTTTTTTTTTTTTTGGTAGTACCAGGGATTGAACTCAGGACCTTGTGCTTGCAATGCAGGCAGCAATGCCACTGAGCTAAATCCCGGCTCTGGTCAAACTACTTTTAAGCTTCCATTCCTTATATATAAATTGAGAATAATAATAATAATAATAATAATAATAAATAATAATAGCCAACTACTTCATAAGATTGCCGGAAGGCTCAAAAGAGATAATGCATATGAAATGCTTATCATACATGTATCACATGAAAAACTTTCAATAAGCATTAATAGTAGTAGTGGCTGGGTATTTAGCTCAGTGGTTCCATTGCCTGCTTCCCAAGCGCAAGGTCCCAAGTTTGATCCTCGGTGCCAAAAAAAAAAAGTAATAGCAATTGTAAACAAAGGTATAAAGAAAGATAAAAGTAGGATTAATGAGTTAATGAGTAAATCTTATTTCTATTTTGCTAGAAACATTTTCTCTCATAAAATTTACAATTTTCAAAGAAGCAGGAGGAGGAAGAGGAAGAAGAAAGGAAGAGAGGAAGAAAAGGAGGAAAAAGGAAAAGAACAACAGCACCAGCAACTACAGTAAGATTATACTTTTTAAAATAAATTTCTCTCACTGATGTACAGAGGAACCACAATACCTGCATGCAGGTAAGAATCTTCAAAAAAGATCGAAAACCTTCAAGGAACTGCATTCTTAATCTTTCTGTCCATATTGTGGGCTTGCTGATCAGGATATACCTATCATTTCAAAAAAGGAAAGAAATATTTCATTTATTTGTCTTGAAATATTTAAAGGTTCTCAGGGTTATAAACAATGATGTCTTAACAAAATTATACATTCTATCTAGTGTTTTTCAGCCTCTTTTTTTTTCCCCCAGTGCCAGGGATCGAACTTGGGTCCTTGTGCTTGCGAGGCTGGCGGTGGAACCACTGAGCTAAATCCCTGACCCCCAAAATTATACATTCTAACTTCTTAAAATAACTACAAGCTCTGAGCAGAGCTAGAATTATTTATTTACCTTTATTTTACATATAAACAGCAAACCGTGGGAATATCCTACAAGAAACAGATACTAAAGCTAAGGCTGACTGCTCCACACATTACATCCTGAGAAGTTGGAATGATTAAGTGACCCTCGGACATTAGCCAACTCTGGACAAACATATTACATATCTAGAACTTTTTATACTCATTACCTAAAAGGCCAGCTGATATCCCTTCAGGTTCAAGAAATTTGGAATGGGGCGGGGATTTGGCTCAGTGGTTCTGCTGCCTGCCTCACAAGCTCAAGAGCCTGAGTTCGATCCCCCATACCAAAAAAAAAAAAAAAAAAAAAAAAAAAAAGTTCTGGAATGGATTTCCTACTTCCAGGTTCAGAATCCAGAACCTGGAAGAAGGATGTAAGTACCTATGTCATCCTGGTTTGCCCATTAGGATGTAATAATTTCATGAAGAAACAGATCCATTTTAGCCTATAATTTACAGCATTTCCTTTGGTTGAAAAGATAATGATTGGTTTCATATCCATTGAGAAAAACATTTATAATGGAATGACTTCTCAGTTAGCAATCACTGATAATTATTAGAAATTATTTTGAATTAAATTAAAATGCATTACTGTCATATATACCAGGTATTGGGAACATAAGCATGAACAAGATATACATCCTTTTCCTTCAACTTCAAAGAGCAGTGAGGAAACCAGATATATTTAGGGGACACTGAAATCCAGTGTTAAGCACTAAAATGATGTACGGTGCTGGGTGTGGTGGCACACACAGCCTGGGCTACATAGTGAGTTCATGACCAACCTGAACTACATAGCAAGACCTTGTGTCAAAACACTAAAAAAAGCACAAAGAAAGTAATATAGAAATATAAAAGGCAACAAAGACAGGAAAAAAAATTCAATTTTAAGGACAGTGGGGATTGCAGTTAAATTTTTGTCATTCATTAGACATCATTAATATGTGGTTATACATTAAAATGCTATCATCAGGGTGGGCACAGTGGCACAGAGCCATAATCCCAGCTACTCAGGAGGCTGAGGCAAGATCACAAGTTCCAGACCAGTCGGGGCAATTTTAGCATGATCCAGCTTCAAAGTTAAAAAAAAAAAAAAAATGCAGGGGATGGGGAGCCTAAGGATGTAGTTCAGTGGTAGAACGCTCCTGGATTCAAGCCTCAATATAAAAGTTAAAAAAAAAATCAGGACCTTATCAAACAATTAACTTTGAAATATAATACTTAACACCCAAATCTTTTATGTTTTGTTTTGACACAAGGTTTCTCTATGAAGTTCAGGCTATCAATGAATACACTAAGTAGCCCAGGTTGGCCTCAAACTCATAGTGATCCTCTTGCCTCAGCTTTCCAAGGGCTGGAATTACATGTGTGCATCACCACACTGAGTTAAATCTTTTAAAATAAAAGAAAACTGGGTACAGTGGTACATGCCTATAATCCCAGAATTTAAGGAGGCTAAGGCAGGAGGACCATACTTGGACAGCTTATCAAGACACTGTCTCAAAATATAAAAAGAATAGAGGAGGTCAGGGGCTGTATCTCAGGGGTAAAGTGCCCCTGAGTTCAATTCCAAGTACCAAGAATTCAAAAATAAATTAAAAAGACTTAATTATAATCTGCCAAAATAAACAAAAGGCATTAAGGTCTGGCCATTTTCTAGAGCACTGCTACTTAAAATGTAATCCACCAAGCAGAAGCAGTAGTTATCACCTGAGTATCTTTTAGAAATGCAAGCTCTTAGGCTCTAATCAGAACTACTGAATAAAAATCTGTACCTTAACAATACTGAGATAATCTGGATGTACATCAAAATATAAGAAGCACGGATCCAGAGCAAAAGATAATTTACATTTCTAGTTTCTCACAGAGTTTACACCTTACCTCCACAGTTGTCCTCACAGGTAAATAGGGTAAGGTGGGAAAGAAGAGAAGTCTGTAGATAAAAGTAGGTGGCAAAGGCAAATTGGAAAAGAGACAGAAAGGAACAGACAGAGTGGAAGAGCAAAGGGGTGATCTGGTGTAAGAGTCTTGTGTCTGCTATACTTTTCATATATGGAACACAGCAACACATTACAGGGTGATACTTCCTTAAGAGGGCCAAGGTTTCATTTCTACAGTGAATTAACAACCGTGAAACCAAACAGCTCAGATATCTTCCATAAAGTGAGGAAAAAACTAAATTAACAGAGATATATTATTAAATAGAAGCGAGAAGCAGTAAACCTTTCCATGATTTACTAGAACTGGAGAACTGTGCTCATTTCTTGGCATATACATGGGATACATTTAACTGGAACAGGTTTTAGAAGCAGGCAAAGATTTAGAAGAAATTTTAAACAATATGAAATGAAAACGATTGAAGAAGTGGTTGCCAGGTGTGGTGGCACACACCTGTAATCCCAGCTTTTCGGGAGGCTAAGGCAAAGGCAGGAGGATCATGAATCTTAAGCCAGTCTGGCAATTTAGTGAGAGCCTGTCTTAAAATAAAATACAGACATACATACCTGCACACACACACACAGTAAAACAAGAGTTGGAGGGGTCTGGGATTTAGCTCAGTGGTGCTGACACCTGCCTTGCAAACACAAGGCCCTGAGTTTGATCGCTGGTACCAAAAAAATAAAAAATAAAAAAAGAGTTCGAATGCACTGTTTTGACGGAATGAAAATTTCCTGAGGGTGCTTGAGCAGTTTTTACCAGTATCAAAAATTTATTTCATGCTGAGGTGAGGTCAGATAAGCATATGGTTAGACTATGGAGAAGTACAAAGTCTAGAAGAAATTACACCTGCTGACTGTAGGTTATAGATGGTAGCAACAAATAGACTTCCAATCCAATTTAGAAATATGTTCAAAAATAGGAGATTGAGGTGTAGTTTAGTTATAGATTCCTTGCTACCATATGCAAAGCCCTGGGTTCAATCCCAGCAAAAAACAAACAAACAAACAAAAAAACAGAAAAGCATTTGCTAGATTTCGGGACTACACAGAAGATTCTAGATATTACTGAGCTGAATTATTTAAGACTCAAATTCCTCAATTTCTTATATGAATGGCATATAAACCTTTTCTTTAAAGGTAATTTGTTAATGTTATCACACCTGCAGGACCTGAGTGTTTTATAACCTACAGTCACCAGATGTGGATAAAATTGGAACCCCCCCTCACACCCTTGAGATGAAAAATAATCACACATGTCTTTGAATTTTTAATAAATAACAACTAAATAAAATATATTTTGTTCTACTATATTTAAAAAATAATTTTTGAAGTCTATGATTTATTAAATAGTTATCTATCTTAATCCTTATAATATTCACCACCTATTATAAAAATAAATTTATTCCCTTTTAGGTTCAACAGTAAAGGTGACCTATCATGTGATTTGCCAATGCTCTTCAGGGGAAAAAAAACCCCAATTGAGAAGCCTCCCATAACTGGACGTGGTGGCGCACGCATGTAATCCCAGCACTAGGGAGGCTGAGGCCGGAGGATCGCTGTGAGTTCAAGACCAGCCTGGGCTACAAAGAGAATTCCAGGTCAGTCTCAACTACATAGTGAGACCCTATTTCAAAATTAAACACCAAAATAGCAAAAACAAAAGAAGCCTCTGATAAACTTTGATGACTTGGGGTGTGTGTGTGTGTGTGTGTGTGTGTGTGTAAAGGGGAGTTAAATTTAAATCAACAAAATAGCAAAAACAAAAGAAGCCTCTGATAAACTTTGATGACTTGGGGTGTGTGTGTGTGTGTGTGTGTGTGTGTGTGTGTGTGTGTGTAAAGGGGAGTTAAATTTAAATCAACAGGTCACCTGAGAATATACTACTATACTAAGAGACTACACAAGAGGGACAGAACCACAAAGAAGTGAGTGGAAGTAAGTAAAAGGTGTGGTAATTACAATGAAGATCCATTTGGTGACCCAGGAGACCCCAAATACCTGTGACAGGCCTCTCTTTCCTCAGTACTTCCTTTATTAACTTGGCTGTAAATTCAGGAAAACAACTTCACTGAAGACCTTCACAAACCCCCACTGGTATCAGTGGAGACTGGTTCTGGCACCCGCCCCCTAGAATATATAAAAAACTTAGGGCTGGGGATTTAGTGCAGTGGTTCTGCCACCTGCCTCGCAAGTGCAAGGTCCTGAGTTTGATCCCCGCTACAAAAAAAAAAAAAAAAAAAAAAAAAAAAAAAAAAAGATAAAGATATATAAAAGGCTTATTTGCATCTAGCCTATGTACATCCTCCAGAATACTTTAAATCACCTTTAGATTTAATACCTAAGAGAAATACTATGTAAATACTTATCATCCTATGTTATTTTGAGAAGCAAAAAAGTTTGTATGTGCTCAGTACAGAATCAATTATTTTTTTCAAATATTTTCTGTATACAGGTGGTTGACTCTACAGATGTGAAGCCCTTGGGTATAGAGAGCCAACTGTATTAACAAGAAGTAGTAATAGCTTTTTGTGCTCGCATCATTATAAAGAGAATCCCACACAACCAAAAGGACCAGCCAGAAGTTTACTCACAAAACAGAGCAAAGACACACATTGTAATATGACTCAAATTACTTACTTTAGGTCACATATTACTGCATATACTCTTCCCAGTTTGTCCTGGCTATACCCCTGGAAGTTGAATTTATTGTTCCTGTCCAAGTACTCAGGTAAAACTTCTAGCAGAGTTTCAGTAATGACAGAGATAACATTCTGCTCTTCAATAAGATGTCGAGCCTGCAGAATATTTCAAGAATATTGTCTTTAGCATTAGTTCATCATCACTCATTCATTTGGTTGGTCGGTTAGTAATTTTTAGTACATATTTATTGAGCAGTAACAGTTCTTAGGTTTTAGAGAACAGCAAATTATTGGTAAGTTAGTTTCTATCAGTAAAGACCCTCTCCTCTTCAGTAACTAAAAAACACTTGTCTGGATACTCCAAACTCATTACATAGGTTATTTAGATAAACATTTATCATCAAAATTACACAAAGATATCCTTCATTTCGATCACATTAGTATCTATTCTGGTATCTTTCCCACACCTCCAATCCAGTTTTTCTTCCTCATCCTTTTCTCTGGCCTTTTGAAAAGGTGGAAGGGGGGAATAGTTAATCAAACTGTCCAGCAGAAATAGGAAAATAATAGTATAAAAAAGTAGCAGAAACTTCCATTTTCCTCCTAGGATTCTGCACCACCATCTCACACATTTTGACACATCTTGACAGGTTTACTCTCTCTGGTCTTACTCTATTTATCTCCCCCAAATAAAAACTAAAAACAAAAGGGTAAAATTAAAAAAAAAAAGTTTTGGTATGGAAAAAGTAGTGCTTCTAAGTTACTCTAGAAAGTGAGAAGTCACCTTTGCATGGCAATCTGCAGAGATCAGACATCTGGATGAGGGTAGTGGCCAGTTACTCAGTCTTGCACATCACTAAAACACTATTCTCATACAAATATTACTGAGGTATTTTCAGTTTTCCAAGTAGAATTAGCCCAGTTTAGAGATTCTGATGTTGTTTTAATTTAATTAACATTAAGTTAATAAAATTAATTAAAAGCAGTTACTTTGATATAAAACTGCAAAGAAATAAATGACACATACCAGAGTAGGCACAGTGAACATCTGAACTGAGAGTGCAGTTATAGAAATGCTCCTGTCATGGTCGTCACTGATATATTCTTTCTGCAGTTGTTTATAATACTGAAAGATACAAGTGGAGAATCAATTACAATTCACTATTAAATCACTACTATTTTAAAAATCTCAATTTTAGGGCAGGGGATTTAGCTTAGTGGCATTGCGCCCACCTCACAAGTGCAAGGTTGTGAGTTCGATCCCTGGTACCAAAAAACAAAAGACAACAAAAACAACCCCACAAAAATCTCAATTTTACTACGTGCAGCAAGCTTTTCATCATAAGATGAAAAGCATAATGTAATTCTGAATTAATAAGGCAAGATATCATGGTCAACAAAAATATCCTAAAAAGAAAACAACAATAAAAAAAGAAAAAATATGGGGTCTGGGGATTTACAATGGTGCTGCCATTTGCCTCGCATATGCAAGGTCCTGAGTTTGAACTCTGACACCTCCCCAAAAACAGAACAAACATGAATTTAACTACTCAACACAGAAGAGTTGGAAGAACTGTTAAAACAAAAAACACAGGTGAAAATCACGGAGGAATGCAATAGTATAGTTTATCCTTTTTCCAAACAATCTGGAACAATCTTCAGTAGTTTCTACTCCAATGGTATAGGACAGGGAATATATTTAAAGTATTTAACAACTGATATGACCCAGAAAACCAACCAATCATATTCAATCCAGCCCTAACTGGAATAGATGATGGTTGCAAATAATTGTTTATCCATACCAGTGCACACCAGCTGAAAATAAACCCCAAAACATTAGTGTAACAAAATTAATAATACATCCAGTCATGTACCAAGCACATGTAAGCACTCAGTTGGATACTTGATCTACACGTTTAATTTAATCCCCCAGAATTTCTAAGAGTTGAAAAAATAACTATGTTGTATAAAAATTATCATCTAGGTGGAGATTAGTTCTAGTGTAAGAAAATAAAATTTCATTTCAGATCATACATATTATCTCTAATCCTATTAATATTCTATCTCTAATGAGTTTTAGAAGAATTTTCATACTGAGCTACTTCTCCAGCTTTTTTTTTTTTTTTGCTTTGAAGCAAGGTCTCAATCACTTAGTTGCTCATGTTGGGCTCCAGCTCAAAATCCTCCTCAGCCTTCCAGAGTACCAGGATTACAGGTGTGCACCACAATGCCAGCTAACACAGGTGTTCTATCCCACCACGCCGGCATCACTGCCAACAGCAATTATTATTCCCCTCTCTCCTTCTAATTCCATCCTGAGTCCTTTCTTGCCCTATCTTAAATCTTACAGAATTATCTTCAACTCAAAATCAGAAGAAATCAGCAAGTATTTGTTGTATGTCTTCGTAAAAGGCAAAGTAAAAAATTCAAAGTTCTTCTTCTATGTAATCTTGTAACCTATCTTGAGATAGAGCAAAAAGTATACCATAAGAGATAGACAGCAGATCAATAAACATGTTAAAAAGGTGTAAATTTCACTCTTGTGTTTTAGTTTCAGTTAGCTATAACTTTTGGTCACCTAATTCCTGCTTCCCTTTAATATACACATTTGCTCCTGTTCCAGCTGTTCTCTGAAATCAGTCACTTCTGTTTGTATTATAATTTTACTGACATGCAAATAAATATAACCAGAAAGAACAAATGCAGGTGTGAATGTGATAACCTTTCTTCATACAGCCTGGGAAAATAGGTAATTTTCCATCTAACTCTTCTCCAAGACTGGTGTTTCCATACTACCAAATGCCATTTATGAAAATATTAATATAACATAAAATAATGAACTTTTGACAAAGAAATCATAAAATTCAATTCATAATTGTTTCTATTACTTCATTTATAAAAACTGCCTTTCTATTGATATTTATAAATAGCAATTACCTTCACAAACTCCATAGCAAAGAGTTTTTTGTATTCCATCTCCATAAAAAAACTGCTGAAGATCAATTCATGAAGGATCTTACGGGCACCTATATATCATTTAGGGTTGAGGGGTAAGGAGATATTACCAAGGCAAAAACAATATTCTAGTAATTATAAATAGTAGAATATTATAAAAGTATTTCATATAGACCTCAAAGACAATTATGAGTAGCATTTATTACAGTAATATTTAATGTTAAATTTGAAATACATATGTTGCCTTTCTTTTTCTGTACTTTTTTGGGGGTGGGGGGGTCGAACTGAGCTACATCCCCAGCCCTTCTATTTATTGTTTGGTACTGGGGATTGAACTCGGGACCTTGTGCTTGCGAGGCAGGCAGCAGAACCACTGAGCTAAATCCCTGGCCCTCCCAGCCCTTTAAAAAAAACTGGGGGCCATGTGTGGTGATACACACCTTCAATTCCAGTACTTAGAGGCTGAGGTAGTACAACTGCCATGAGTTCAAGGCCAACTTAGACTACATAGTGAATTCAAGGCCAGCCCAAACTACACAGCAAGACCCTGTCTCAAGAAACAAAAAATAAATAAATAAATAAAAATAAAAAAATTTTTAGACAGGTTCTCTTTCACTAAGTCACTAAATTGCCCATGCTAGGCTCAAACTTGTGACCCTCTTGGGATACTGGGATTATAAGCATATGTGAGAATGCCCGATCCCTTTTTACTTTTATGTTAAGATAAGGTCTCGCTAATTTTTCAAGGCTGGCCTTTGAACTCACAATCCTACTCTTTCAGCCTTTACAGGAGCTGGGCTTTTAGGCATGTACTACTATTATGTATGGCATTCATTTAGATTTTTTCCTTTTTTTTTCCCCCGCAGCACCAGGGATTGAACTGAAGACATTGCATTTGCCAGGCAGGCATGGTGTTGCTGAGCTACATCCCTGCCTCCCCACTCCTTTTTTTTTTTTTTTTTTTTTTGAGGCAGGAGCTTAATAGGTAGTCCAGGCTGACCTTGAACTCACTATGTTGCTTAGGCTGGCCTGAAACTTGCAGTAATTTTCCTGCTTCAGTCCCTGAAGTACAGTACTGGGGTTACAGGTATGTACACCTGGCATTCATTTAGATTTTTTTAAATGAAGACATAAAACTACGCATGTGCGCACAGGCGCGCGCACACGCACGCACACACGCATGCGCACACACACACAATTCTTTTTAACTGGTCCTGATGAAATGAAAAGGGACTATAATTAAAAGGCTTCCTTTTGATACAGAAAAATACAAATTGATTGGTTCCTTAACTTCACATGTCATATCTTCATAATTAAGTTTTTAAGTTACTATCTTCTTTTCATTCCTGGTAAGCAGTACAGGTAAAGGTCTACTTACCTTTATACAGCTTTGCATCCCAAAGCATTAACCTGCTTATGAGACAGGGATTCTCAGAGCCAGGTTCTTCTCTAAGACATGCTTGGCAAAATATCTGTCTAAAATCACCTATAAATAAAAATTAAGTAATTTTTATTCTTAAGAAATTTCTCCTAAAAGTACATTTCCTATATGAAATGAAAAAGCATGAAAACACATGAAAAATATATGAAAAAACTAAACCTATTATGCTTCAGGTCAAGAATGATTCTGTCAGAGGCAACCCACTTTCCAGTCCCCCTTCTGTCTCTCTTAGAAAGAAGCTTTCTTTCCCTCAATAAATTTTTCCTACTCTTAAAAAAAAAAGAATGATTCTGTCAATATCAAAAATCAAGAGCAAGAGGCTGGGGATTTAGCTTAATGGTTCTGCCACCTGCCTTGCAAGGACAAGGTCCTGAGTTCAAAATCTCTGGGACCAAAAAAAAAACCAAGAGCAAATAAAGGATATTATTGGACATTATGTATTCTACAGAATATCTCATGATATTATGCATCTGAAATATAATATTGAAAACTGACTAAAATGGATACTTGATCAGAAAGGAAAACATTTTATATTCAATAACATATAATTTGTGACCATAAAGAACCAATAGCTTATCAGAAATAAAGCAAATAGGAGGTATACTTACTTGAATAGCTCATAATTTTGTTCATCCAGGAACCAAGACGCAAAGCAAATTTTTGATGAGCCATAACTTCAGAATGTAATACTTCTACATGAAGTGGATGTTGAGAAACATTTTCTGAATGACTCTACAAGTGAAAAGAATAATAAAAACTTTTAAAAGCACCAAAAAACTAGTATAGTAAATTTTGCTTTTACTTAAGTAATCTATTCTTTTTTTTTCTTTCTTTCTTTTTAAGAAAAGGTCTCACTATATAGTTCAGGCTAGCTTTGAATTCACTATGTAGCCCAGGCTGGCCTCAAATTCATGGTGATCCTCCTGCCTCAGACTATCTAGAAATGAAATTACATATATGCACCACCATGCTTGGCCTAAGTAATCTATTCTCCCACCTCCATTAAGTTTATTGGTACATTTTTGGTATACAATACAGTTGCATTAATCATTGGGAACTTGTACCTTTACATGCTGTATCTTGTTTCTTATTTTTTTCCCATTCCCCTACCCTCCCTTCAACCCTTCCACTCCTCCCTACTTACACTGTTTCCATTTTTTCCTTGTCTCATATTTTTCCTTTCCCCTACCTCTCCAATTTCCCCTACCCCTGTAGACCTTTTCTTCCTATTTCACATTATCAATTACACATTTTGATCCTTATTTACACTTTTAGTTTCTCACACCAGAGAAACTATTACTCATGTGTCCTATTTATTTCACTTAAGAGTATGGCCTTGGGCCAGGGATTTAGTTCAGTGGTGCTGCTGCCTGCCTTGCAAGTTCAAACCCCAGTACCAAAAAAAAAAAAAAAAAAAAAGGGGGGCCGACGTGGTTAGTATCAAAGTAAAACCTGAGACCAACCCAAACCCTGCTGCTAAGCCTAAGGACTGGGCAAAGACTTATCAACTGCTAAGTCTGAAACAACAGCTGCTCTGGGAGCTCAGCAGTACAACTTTCAAAGAAATCTTAAAAACACATATTTATAAAAGCTATCTCTTCACTCAAGTGCTTTTGGGGAACCATCTGAAAATCTGTACTCCATTGAACTTGCCACACACTCCCTTACCCATAATATATATCCCGTGTGTATAAGGACTATAGTCTTCCCTTTGCCAGTCTGCTAAACTAGTCACTCTTCAAGAGTCACACCAAATGTTTTCTGTTTTCATTTTTTTTTTTTTTT